CACCTTTTGCTTTACTTGCTCCTGTGGAGCAGGTTATATTGGCCGCACGAGTTGGCGCTTGTCCAAAAGAATAAAGTAACAGCTTCCGGCATGGCAGAGAAGGGTGAAGTCGGGAGCATAAACAGCTCTATTCTGGCGCACATGGTTGATTCCGGACATCGCGTGAACCCCAACAAAGCCTTCCGGGTGATCTATAAGGCCCTCACTACACTATCCAAAGTCCTCGGGTCAGCGAATGTCAGCTACGGCAGAAGCGACCGCTATCAGGTTGATGAAGCCGTCATTGTGTGCACAAAAGAACCTAGTACAAGCTCTGTCTGGTGTGGCCGACAGTCACTTAGCGGCATGCACTCGTCCGCGCTATGTTTGTCCCCCCCCCCTCCCCTAGACGGGCTGCACCAAACGCTGCCTTCCCTTGTCGACCTTTCCGCCCTATACCCACGTTTTAACTTGTACCCCGTTCCCATATAAATGTATTGGCCTGACAAGAATTTATCGAAAGCATACGTACACTAGCCAATTACTATTCTGAATTCTCTGGTGAGAATTTTCGCAAATTAAATATTCTTCGATCACTTTCAACACAAATAAATATTCATTTACACTCGTTAACCAAGAATTAGACATTTAGCCACCAAATCCGGAAGACAGTTGGGCGGGGAATAGATATTTAGGCAGCCCCACAAAGCAGTTTTGCCAATATTTTCTTCAAGCTTTAAATTCGCTTCGGGGTTGCCACTATAATTTCAAAGTTTTGGTGAATGCGTTAAGGCCACTTTGTGAGTGATTATCAAGCCTTCGCAATTTTCAGAATCTTGCAGGACTGCTGTATTTGAAAGTACGTGTGAGTTACGTTGCCATTTTGCCTGGCAAACTAAAGCCTTTTCAGACAACAGCAGCAAAAGTGACTCGTAATACGGACAGTAGAGTTGAAACGCACCTGACATCAATGTCCTCTCTGCCTGAGCTGACAAAGTTGTACTTGGTACCCGGACCGAATGCGCTAACCAGGGGCGCAGCGATCAATTCCTCCACAGAGGTCTCCAGTTTTCGTTCACCATCAAGGATCCAGGGTGTTTGAGGCAATTTTCGACAGAGCTTCACGTAACGACCAGCGACTACCAGCGGCGCAACTCTCGATACTTCCACCGAAAGCAGCTGCACTCGGATGGATTGCTGGGAGAGTTCAGC